AACAAGGAACAGTGTCAGGATCAATAGTGAAATAAGAAGAATATTCATGTGTAGAGAAATGAGAACCTTCAGAAAGCAATTAACTTGTATTAAGAAATCACAAAGCTCTGAAAAAAGGTTACTGACTTCAATCCAATCACAAACCACATGCAAGACAGCAGAAACCATACTGGAGTGGGCATGTCCAGTTAGATGCCACATATTGATCTAACTAAGATTAGGCATGAGCCAAGTTTTGTGAATTGTGATATGCCTAAATAGGGAAACGAACATATTTGAATGAACCATCTACTAGTACCATCTAGTACGCTGTACAAACAACTCTGGCACCGATCGATCTACACTAAGCTACATGACTAAATTTAAATGTTTCACTGAACTGAACGCAATCGAGGTGATAATCTCAAAATTACGATCAAGTCCAGGGTTGAAACTAGCAGACTGCAACAAACAAGCCACAAATCCCCAATTGCCTCCCTCCCTTGGGGAGGAAGAATGGTTCTACCGCCTCCGGCTCAGAGTAACAGAGCCAACACTGGGACGCGGGGCTTGGGACCGGCACTCACCTCGAGATGGAGCGTACCACCTCCAAGGCCCCCATCAGTCCCGTTGTGGAACTCCATCCACGCCCGGTTATCGTAGAAGCAGGCGCCCTTCCACTCGGCGGCGCGGGCGCCGCCATCACCTGGCTCCCGCGCGACGCCGACGAAGGACGGGAGGAGGTCGGCGGCGCCGCGCAGCGCGAGGCGGCGGAGCAGCGGCTGGGCCACCGGCCAGGGCAGGAGAGGGAGGAGGTCGCGCGGGAGGACGGGGGCGCGGAGGGCCGCCTCCAGGAGCCCCGGGAGGAAGGGGCGCGAGGCGGCGAGGAGGAGGACGAGCGCGGAGAGGGCGGCGAGGAGCTTGAGGTTGTAGGCTCCTCCCATGGCCGCCGCCACCGCCGCCGGTTAGGTCTGGGAGCCCTCCGCGAGTTTCGCGTTGCCCCGCGCTGGTCTTCTTCCCGTGACGGAGTTCTTTCTAGTCGATGACTCGTTTGGGTTTGTTCACTCAGGGGCGGACACTCGAGTAAAGATAAAATATATCTGCATTTTATTTCCCAAGGTTGCTTCTACTAATCCGTTGTTTCTTCTAATAATCCCTTGTTGCTTGCAAGTTTCCGACTCTGCACGATTGCACGAATTGACTAGAATTGGTTGTATTGTACTGCGTATTTCGATGGGCTACAAGGAGTATCGCCAACATATTGCTTAGCCAGAATTAAAACAAGATGTTGCTTAGCAATAGCAATGTTATTTTTGAACAACGAAATTATCTTCCGTTTCTATATAAATTTGGTGTGCGCTAATATAAGAATATTCATGTACTATGTTCATTATTTTTTTTTCTGGGACCGGCGTAAAGCCAGTCGAAGTTTAGTAAAGATTTAGAAGAGACTTTAGGTTACAAATACTCCTACAACATTAACCCCACAAAAAAGCGGCCCCAGAAACTCCAGGGTTACCTGCCTCCCCGTCCCGCCGTCCGGGACGAGCCTGACTACCCCAATAGATTACTGACGAATGGGGAGCTTGGGTGGCGGCAGCTCTAATGGCGCCAATACAGTAAATCTATGTTCATTATTTCACTGCTATAGTTTTCCCTTTTCCTTTTTTTTCCGAGGAGTGTTATAAGTTTAGCTGACAAATACGATACTGTTCTCTAAGTGAAAATCTTGCTCTCAAGAGTAGTTCTCCCTTCTCTATGACGGTATGGCCCCCTGTTTCTTTTCTTTTAGGGCCCCTTTAATCATAGGAATGGAAAAACGGAGGAATAGGAAAAACATAGGATTCTGACAGGAATGCAGGTATAAAACAGAGGATTGGAAAATATAGGAAAAACACATGAATGACCGTTTGATTGGACCACAGGAAAAACACAGAAATCGGATGAGAGAGATAGACTCAAAGGAATTTTTTCTAAGAGGTTGGACCTCTTGCTAACTTTCCTCCAAAATCTCTATAGGATTAGCCATTCCATAGGAATTTTAAAGAATAGTATAGGATTCAATTCTTTGTTTTAAAGGCTTTTATAGGAATTTTTTCCATAGGATTGAAATCTTTTAAATTTCCTACACTTTTCCTATAGATTAAAGGGGCCTTGAAAGGAGAACGGTGGCATGTGGTCCATAATTTGATTTGGTTGATATTTCTATTCCAAGATATAAATACGTGTCCCAGTCATAAGTCACTGAGTTGGACACGGAAGAAGGTTCGGAAGCGGAAGTAGCTGTGGTCAGGCGTGCGTGTCCTTCTCTTCCTGCAGCACAGCCGGGATGTGCATTGACTACAGTGACAGAGAATCGGGAAAACAAAAAAAGAGGCAAATTTTCCCGAAGTCTGATCTCATCGTCTTATCTCATACACGATCTCTCTTCTCGCATCAATGCGACTTCGGAAGAACAGCGTATCGAACTAGCCATTGGTCACTTGATTAGTTGTTTTAGCTTAGCAGCATGAGCCAAAATTGCACACAGTTGGTAGTTTATGCCGAAACTGACCGTACCTTGATGTGGAGCGTGCCGCCTCCGTACTTGGAGCCGGAGTCGTTGTGGAGGACCAGCCACGCCTCGTTCTCGTAGAAGCAGGCGCCCTTCCACTCCAGCCGCGAGCCGACCGCGCCCGGCCTGTCCGACGCCGCCCCGACGAACACCGGGAAGATGTCCGACACGCCGCGGAGAGCGCGGAGCGCCGCCATGGCCGCGGTCCGCGGCAGGAGGGGCAGGACGTCCATGGGGCTGAACGGCAGGGTGGCCCGCGGCAGCGCGCCGACGAGGCCGTCGACATCGCGTGGGCCGGCGGAGTAGAGCAGTGCCGCGGCGAGCGAGGCTGCCACTAGCAGCAGCAGCGCAGCCGCGATGAGCGTGTTGTTCTTCGCCATGGTGTGTGGGAATGTGGGATGCGCCGTCCAGGGGACTCGGGGGGTTTCTTCTCAGGACCTTAGTTTATCCGGTTCCGTGTGAAAAACGAGCAGCACGGTGACTGGAGGCGAGGGTGGCGGTGTTTGGGACGCAAATGTGTTGCACTCTGTTCTTGAATTGAGGTGTGATTATTTCACTTCAAAATTAAAAGTTTGGTTAAAATTGAAATAATGTGATAGAAAAGTTGGAAGTTTACGTGTGTAGGAAAGTTTTGATGTGATAGAAAAGTTGAAAGTTTAAAGAAAAAGTTTGGAACTAAATAAAACCTTGGTGTGGTTTTGGCCCGAAGGAGTAGTAGGTCCTGGTTTAGTTCCTAACTTTTTCTTTAAACTTTCAACTTTTTCATCACATCAAAACTTTCCTACACACATAAACTTTCAACTTTTTCGTCATATCGTTCCAATTTTAACCAAACTTCTAATTTTGATGTGAACTAAACACACCCTACAACTGAAGCTTCACACGAATTTATCACCCAAGAACAGTAATGCTGCTGATGCGATTAGGAAAGGTAATCTGCAAGATTTAAAGACTTGTGTTTCTTGAGAACGGGGTATATAAAACTACCCAACCGATTGAAACCGATTGAAACGATTTTATGCTTGTCTGAGGCACGCTGATCATGTTATTTGCCCAAAGTTTCAATCGGTCGTAACATAATTTCAGTTTGGGACTACAAAAGCCGAACGCCATGTACAGTTTGGTCGGTGGATCGGTGCGCACGAAGAATAGTCGGGCACCGTCAATTTTTCCCCTCAGTATAACTGTAACCCAAAACTGATTATCCAAATTGGTCATGGAATGATGGAATCATCGGGCATCAAAAATCCCTCGACTGGTATATACTCTATACGACGTCACGGCTGACGCCTTAAAGGCAATAATAATAATACATTGATCCGATGATCCCCATCTATCACTCACCTATACAGCCCAGGCGCATCGTACTATCATAGTACCACAAGTCTACAGGCAGCCCAAACAGCCCAACTCCCAGCACGCGCGCGGGAGCTGCAATGGGCTAAAGGCCACAAGACCGCAAGGCACAGGCCCATGCCCCGCCCCCTCGACGCCGCTTGTCCGCTTCACGTGCTTGTGAACACGAGAAAGCCTGCCGCAACAACGATCGTCAGGCCAGGCGAGCGCGGCGCCGAATCTATCGAAGGCGGTGCAACGTACGCTTCCGCGTCCGCAGATCGCGGGGAGGGAATCATCACGGGCCCCGGCCCTACCCAGAACACGCACACCGCGCGGGATGAGCCGCTCCCGGCCCTAGCTAGCGTGCACGCCATGAGTCCAGGACGCAGGCTCAAAAACCTGGACGTCCAACTGAACACTCCCGCAGTTCCGTGCATGTAGCACCCGGCGCCAATCGGCGATCACGCGATCCAGTGGCGATGGTTTATGTAGCACCTTCCTACCTGGAATGTCTCTGTCGGATCAGGACTCAGCGCTCGCTTTTTGGTGAAGCCAAGACATACGGAGTACACCCTCCATCCTAAAATAAAATATAAGAAACTAGAATTGAATGCAACATTTCCTAGTCCTATAAATCTGGATGATATCACATTCAATTCTATGTTCTTATATTTTATTTTAGGATGAAGGGAGTACGTTCTTATCTCAGGCCATGTTTAGTTGCAATTTTTTTCTTCAAACTTTTAACTTTTCCATCACATCGAAACATTCCTACACACATAAACTTCTAACTTTTCCGTCACATCGTTCCAATTTCAACCAAACTTCTAATTTTGACATAAGCTAAACACACCCTCAGCCTGTTTTTCTCTTCCTTCTTTTGGAGTGTGGGCCACAGGCAAGTTTTTGGGTGCCGGTCGCGTTCAGCTGTATCCTGTAGAAAATGCGGTGCATGCAGATCATCTCGTGAAGAAGATGAGAAACGAATAGCTGCCAAAAAAAGAAAGAAAGCAAGGAAAGAACAGTCTTCACCGTCTGTAGATTTCTATTTGATATATAGATGCAGGTCATAACTTTCATATGTATCTTGTGTTTGGTCTCAAACTCATCGTCAACAAACAAAAAAAAGTGCAATTCCCACAGTGGAGCGTATTCCTCAAATTAGCCTTCTTTATACAATTGTAAAATATCTTTACAATGATTTCCCCTACATTTATTTACATATTCTTCGACTTCTTTTTGAGCGCGCGGATTTTTGTACATGTCCTGTCTGAACAATTGATGAATTAACCCAAATGTATTCTAGCTATGCACATCAATAAGCACCGAAATTAAATCTGGTGCAGAGTAAAGAAAATGTGGTCATGGAAAAGAAACATGGAGGAAAGCGACAAACTTCTTGGAAAAATAATCAAGCGGCGACTTAACCACCAAGCTTAAGGCGTAGAATGGAACTCATGACTCCACGGCCTCCGGAATGCTCTGCAGGGCGGGCTTCCAGTGCGCCTCCCTGTGCTGGTCGTGGTGGTGCACCTCGCCGGAGTTCATGATGTCCGCCAGCAGCTGCTGCGTGGACCGCCGGCTGATCTTCCCGTGGCCATTCCCGGCGCCCTTGCGCTCCATCAGCTCGTGCAGCTGCCTCTTGGTGATCCTGATGGTCACCTCTGCCACGTGCTCCATCCGCTCGCGGTGGCCATCGTCCTCCGACGATGACGACGCCGCCGCCTCGTCCTCCCACTCGTCGCCGTCGGCCCACGACTCCACGGCACGCTGCGACGCCCCGCAGTTCCCCATCGGTTTCTGGCTTGTTTTTTTTTTCCTTGTCTATGACCAACAACGACTAGATTTCTCCTTCCGATCTTACTGCTAGCTTAGCTTGATCTAGCTCGATCGTGAGCTCGTGCCTTTTCGCTGATTCCGTGTCCTTGTACGCTGCTCTGAGATGGGATATGTAATGTAATCCAAATGGGTTTTGGAGTCTATTTATAGCTGGGAGGTTGGCAGGGGAGGGCAGGAAAGAGATAGCGCCTACCGGGGCCAGGTCAGCGATGATTCCGCACATGACACGAACCACCGCTAATACAATTCGTCCGTGATGTCACGTGGGGAGGCGAATTTCCTTGGCTCCGACGTGGCGAGACGGTCGTAGGATAGAAGCTAATCCTCTTGTGTTCCTCTCCACCCGGTGCCGGCCTCCTAGAAAAGCTGGACGAACTGGCGCGCCGCGCGCGTGGTGCCTTGCCAGTGACAGTGAGTTGCCTCGGCGCGACGCGCTGGCAAAAGCAATCTACGCTGGCGCGACGCGCGCGCCGAGCCCGGGTTTCCATAGAAGCAGGTCGGTTGACGGTTGGCAGCGCGTTCTAACTGGGCCGGTCCTGGTGTGAATGGGCTCTGGAACGAATCTTGAGAGGCCCGTTCGTTCGCGCTTCCGTATGGTCAGGACATGTTCCCTCTCTCGGTGGAGACTTTGCGGTGGCGTGGATTAGGAGTACTGGTGAATTTTGTCAGGGTATCTGGCCACGTGTTCGTTAGGGATAGGCACGTTTTTAAAATTTAAATAAACTTTATAATTTAGAGGCTATACCTTTTTATTTGTTATATGGATCTTGAAATGGATGTATTGGTGTAAGCACTAATCTACTCACGTTACTTGGATTTGAATAGTTTTAGTATGGTTTCGAGGGAACTAGCTCAAACCGTATAACTCAACTTTTAGTATGATTTTTTTTTGTGTGTGTTCTCTAAACAACTGAACAACTTACTATTAGATCGCATTTTATTTTTGGCTTATGGGGATTATGAATTATAGATTAATTATCCTAAACTACTAAACGGTGTAATTAAAAAAAATTATTCATCAGCATTTTTAGAAAACTTCCTTAAATCAACTTTTTAATATTTCTATTTAATTTATTCATCTGTCCCTTGAATAATCGTCATAACTCGGTTTCATCCACATCCATCGGCTACAGATAACGGGTAGTTCATCCCAGGCCCCACCTATCTTGTAGCGCCCGTTCCGTCGTGGCGTCTAGCGGGAAAACTCTCTCTTAAAAACCCTATTTGCGAAATCCGTTTCTTTGCTTGTTGTCTAGTGTCCGTGCCATCTCAGATCTCAAATCCCCGATCTATCGTCAAGTTCAATCCTGAATCCAAATCCTTCCCAAATCAATCCCTCCGCAAAAGTCTGATTCGCCTCCCTCGGGTTCGATGGGCCGAATCCCTCTCGGCCCATCTCCCCCTCCCTCCCCGGCTCTCTCTCTCTCTCTCTCTCTCTCCCCGCTCTGCCCGTGAGCCGCGCCGAGCCCTCCTCCCTCTCCGCTCTCGCTGTCGTTCCCGCCGATGCCGCCCAAATCGCCGCGCCGCCCGCGCGCGCGCGCGCGCCGTGGTGGCCGACCGGCCAGTCGCCGCTGCCATCAGTGCCTGTCGCACCTGCCCCGCGTCTGCTGCCCGTGTCGCCGCTCCACTCCAAACCGCCCCGCCGTCATCGCCATCGTCATCGACTTGGCCCCGCCTCTCCCCGCGCGTGCCTCCAAGGGACGGAGGCAGAGCTCCCCCCCTCTGCCGCGTCGCCCTCTCTCCCTCCTCCTTTTCCGCAAAGCAGCAAGGAGGCAAGCCCTCTTTCTCTCCCCCCTTTTTCCCTTTTCCCCTCCCGCCAGCGTCATCCTCCCCCCCTCCTGTCGCCGTTTTGGCCGCGAGCGCCGAGCGCCAGCTCGCTCCCTTGACCGCCCAAGGTCGGTTTCCAAACCGACATCGCCGCCCTATAAACCCAAGCGCCTCCCTTCCTCTTTCCCCTCCCAATCTTCCCCGTTTCTCGCCCGCGCCATTGCTGTCTCTCTCGCCGGCCGCCGCCGTCGCGTGTGCCGGAGGAGCCGGTGCGCGTTAGGACGCAGAAGGGGACACCGGGCGCTCGCCTTCTTCCTCTTCCCCGGCCCGAGGCCGGAGAGATCACTCCCGTGCCGTCGGCCTCTCGTCACAGTGCCCCGCCTCATCTCGGTAGTGCATTCCCCCGTTCTCCCTCCTCGATCCATCTCCTCCCCTTAGTTTTCGGTAGTAGCATGTGTAGCCTTCCCGTAGCTAGCTGGCGCCGCCCCGACCGTTGCCGCCACTCGCTGTGTGCTCGCCGCCGTCGCCGCCCGTGCTCCGTAGCGCCCGCTCGTCGCCGGCCTCGCTCGGCGTAGCTCCGCCCAATCCGACGCTAGCAACGGATTCCCGTAGCCGCGTAGATGCTCTCACCGCCGGGAATCGGCCCCTCGTGACCTCATCGCCGTTTCCCCCTTCTCCCGCCGCCGGTTGCCGCCGCCGCAATCCACCGCCGTCGAGCTCCCTCCGGCAAATCCGAGCCATTGGCTCGTCTCCCCTCGTCCTGTGCAACATCCCGGTGTGCTCGCCTTCGCCTGTATCGCCATGGTTCGCTCCGCCGCTCGCCGCTGTCGTCCGCCGTCCGTTCCGGCCGGCGTCGTCGTCTACCTCCCGCCGGCCCGCGTGGCAGCCACGTAAGCGCCACGTCGGCGCCACCTCAGCTGCGACCGGGTCAAGCAGACCCCGGTCCGCCGCTTCCCTCCGCCCCCTCGCGCGCGCGGTCCACCGCGAGCCGTGAGGCTGCGCGTGGGCCCGCCGCACCACGTCCTCCGCGAACCGCGCGCATGCGCCGCGCCTCAATCCCCAAACCCTAGCATGCCCCGCGTGCACCTCGCTCACGGTGAGCCAAGTCGCCGACAAGCGGGTCCCACCCGGGACCACGCGGGATGGACCCGGCCCACCGGCTCTCTCTCCCCCCTCCCCGCCCGCGCGCGCGCTTTGGGCCGCCTTCTTGGGCCGGCCGGCCCATTAAGCTCGGCCGAGCCGCCCCATTCTCTCGGGCCGCGCCCTAGCCGCCCGAGGGAAGTCTAATTTCCCTCCCTCCTTCTTTTCTTTTCTTTTCTTTTTCAAAAAGGATTTAAATAAATCCTTTTCCTTTAGACCAAAAATCCAATAATCTTAGAAATTCAATATCTTCCCAACCGTAAGTCCGTTTGACTCCGTTCAACTTCCAAAATTCCTCAAATCTCGAGATCTATCTAATGGCACGCTTAGAGGTCAATAATAGGGCTTTATTTTCGCCGTTTGCTGAGTTGTCCCGTTTCGCGTGTAGTTTCGAAGCCCGAAGACCCGCAGTGCGAGGATTTCGAGGATCAAGCTCAAGATCTCGAGCGAGGCAAGCCACCTTTGAACATCTTGAGCTTATATTTGAACTTAATTATGTTGCTTGAAAAATATTATGCATTGATAGGATCGCACTTAATCTGCTTGTCCCGTCTGCAAGGCAGATTGGCGGACCTACCTAATTTGTTGCATTTCACCCCTCCATTGTAATTGTTATACCATGTTCCCTTGTACCCACCTAGTTGCGCCTCGGTAATCGTGCACTCTGCACGGGTATCGACGGTCGCCTTCAAACTTAAAATCTGAGAAACATCTTGGGTAAAACTTGGGTTTTACAAAAGACTTGGAAAACCCGACACCTGGGTCGGTGCTTGCGAACTAAATGAATTTCCAAAACCGCGGACCGGGGAACGTACCGGGTGTACGGTTTCCCGCTCTTGCACTTAAGGACCGTTTCCTTGGAATTTCATCCGAACATAAGACAAGTACGACCACATGGGTGGAATGGGACACCCCTGGCTGAGTAACTAGCTTATCGGGGGAGCCATGATGCTAAGAGACATGTGGATTCGCCAGGGTGGTGTCGGGGAGGACCCCTGGGCTTCCTGGCATAGTATGGTCTGGGACCTAATCTGGTGTTGGTCTGGGACCCCTCTCGTTGGCATATGGTGAACCTGTGTCGGCTTTCGAAATGCCTTGTCATGAAAGCCTTAAGGTCTCTAGTCGTGGCCGTTCTGCACGGGCTGGATGATCCGGGTTAGTAATGTCGTGTGGGTAAAGTGTACCCCCTCTGCAGAGGTTATTAAAACTGTTCGAACAGCCGTGCCCACGGTCATGGGCAGATGTGAGGTGATTCCTAGCGTAGTTTTGTTTGACTACTGCCTTGTGAAATTTGCTGTTGTGGAATGGGTTTGATGTTTGGAAAATCTGCGGCTGATGGGATCAGCCAGGCTCGGGTGGCCGTTTGAAAGCTGTTGGCCGGGTGCCAACCTTGATCGATTCAAAAGACTGATACATTGCACATACTCCGACCGGACGAGACGCACTGTCTCATCCGTGTCGTTTGAGAAGCACTCCCTTAGTTGTTTCAGAAAAGAGTTTAAATAAAATCAATCACAAAAACAACAACCTTTCCTTGAAGCCTGCATTAAACACTTATTTCCCATGGCTTGCTGAGTACTCCCGTACTCACCCTTGCTCTATATAAATAATCCCCCCCAGTTGCTGAAGAAGATGAAGCGGATCCCGCTGACGAGGAGTTCTTCCAGGAGCAAGCCGGCTACGATGAGTTTTAGGGTTTCGGCCTAGTTCCCAAGTCGCGCCTGTGATGTTTGGTCCAAGTCTTGGCTTCCGTTTCCCTTTTGTAATGCAGTTGTGAGCTCGGGATCTGTCCGCAGCCTAACATGACTGTACTCCTACTCTATAATAAAGAGACCTCTGTTGCTGTGATATTCTGTCTTCCTGTGATACCAGCACTGTTTCCTGGGACTGGTATCGATTAACAGGTTAATTTGGAGCGTCACGGGCTAGTTCCGGTCGGGACTAGTTCGGGGCGTGACATATCTGCTGTGAGAGCAAGTATAATAGTAGGCTATAAGCCGGCTAAATGCTAAAGTGAAGGAGAGAAGAGAGGAGAGAGAGAGGAGAAGCGGGCTATAAACTTACATCCGGCTTGGACATAAGAACCAAAAAACTTTATGAGAGAGACAAGTGGGCTATGTATTAATTGTAAAGAGCTAACTATTATATGGGTAGGCTAAAAAAAAGCTACAAAGAACCTTGTAGCCAATAGGTCGGCTGTATTATTAGCCTTTCTCTAACTCTCGAATGAGTGCATCTTCTAGTTCCCATGATTTGTTAAGCAAGTGTGTTCGTATATGTTTCCCAAAAAAAAAAAACGTGTTCGTATATATGCTTTGCAAACGGCCGGATATATACACAGACCTGTTCATAGCTGTTGTGATTATCTTCCTAGCATATAACGCGGAGCGCTCGGCGCCGCATGGAAATTTCTGTCATATAAAGAGACGAAATCTTCGATCGGCTACACGCCTAGACCTGCTCGACGGTGGCCATGGTCCTCTGCATATATGAACAGCTCGATTTTGAGACCCGCCATTATTGATCTGGATTTTTTTTTCGAAAATTATTGATCTGGATTAGTTCAACTTCAACATGCCGTGCGTTCACTTCACCTCAGCATAACTTTGATGCAGGCAGGACAAAGAATGCTTCCATCCATTCACAAACTTTCTCGATTATTTAAAAATTTCAGGTGTTATAGGTCCATCATATATCAATATATCATATATGCAAGCTTCTGACGCTGGCTTAAAGGTCTAATATTTCAGTACAAAAATCCTCACTGTCTCCTTCGGGGTAATCACGAACACCGACTAAGTCTTCGTTGCATTGGCTTTCTGAAAATTCACGAAATTAATTTCCTTACCCAATCCACGGTGGATTCTTCTTCAACGCCATTGTGATGGAGTGCAATTCAGCAGTAAGAACTAAGGACCAATGTAGCCTCAAGACAGTGTGTCTCTTTCAGGATGTCGATAGAGTTGGTGAAGACTTGATCTTTTTGTTGCATAGCGAAGGGCGCGAGGTCATACCATGCAAGCCTTGGTTCTTGGAACAAATCATTGTAGATATATAGAATGGACCAATTCAGTGTGGAAGATACAGTCATTGAGCTAACAAATTAAAGGGCCAAAGTGGTAGTAAGTGTCCATTTCTGCAACAGTGTCACTTTGACTGCAATTGCAAAGGGATGGAAATTCTAGTTGGGCATATAGAGCCTTCACTTGCTGGCCTTATTATAGCTATAGGTAGTGGAAATTACTTTGCGAAGGCTCGGTTCTGACCTCCGACTTAATTCTGATAAACAAAATTACAAAATCACGGAGGAGACGAGCAATTTTTGGCTCAAAATTTTCATTACTAGCTGTGAAGTTCATCGTCTCTCTGCAGTTCATCAGTGATCATCGAGACATCTGAGGCCATATGAGTACAAAGTTCAGGGACAGAGCTATATCAGAAATCTGCTCAAGTAAAAAAAGTTCCAGCAATCTCTCTCAATCAGTCTCGTAGCCTGTACATCTCCGAAAGAATGACGATCAAACTACAATATCTTCCTAGCTAGAGCAACTATACACATGTGGAGAATCAATCAAGGAACATAAAACAGTCCTATGGAATCAAAAGATCCACTGAATAATCTATGACTCGTCGGCCTCCGGTATGCTTTGCAGCGACGGCCGCCAGCCCGCTGCCTCCTGCTCGTAGCAAACCTTGCCGGAGCTGATCATCTCTGCCAGCACCTTCTCGACCGGCCGCCCCTTGCCCTCGCCGGCGGCCTTCTCCAGCAGCTCCTGGAGCTGCCTCCTCGTCACCCTGATCTTCACCTCCACCCGCTCCATCTTCTCGACCGCCGCCATCTCATGTAGATGCTGCTGCTGCTGCTGCTCCTCCTCATCCTCCCACTCGCCGTCGTCGGCCCACGATGCGGCGGCGCGCTGCGACTTGAAGCAGTTCCCCATACACGCAGAAATTCAGAACTGAAGAGATGCGAGATGATCGATGCGTGTATCTCAGAATCTGAAGCCGCAGAGCTTTGCTTTGTACTAGGCCCTTCGCTAGAGTTGCTTGACGGTGCTCGGGTTGGTTTAATGGTTGCTTTGGTTGCCTCCGTTTGTGAGAGCTTATTTATACGTGGATGCTGGGAGAAGAGGAGGCGTTCAGCGCGACGTGCCAACTTGGACCTGGCTGGAGACGTGGATGCGTAGGCGTGGAGACCGAGTCGCGCGGGGCACCACCGAGCAGCATTCCATCGGGCCACGTGGACGGCCGGGACATCGAGCGTGCCTCGCGGGGAGGGCACTGGACGGCCGGGATTGGGCGGGGGGCGAGTCGGTGGTGGGGACGGCGCGAGTGGCGGGCGTACGTGGTGGGAAAGTGGCGGGAAAGGGGAATCTTTTCAGCGCGGAGGAAGGCCTGCCGGTATGAACACGGCTTTTGCAGGGGATCTCCCAGCGTCGTCGTGGTCGTACTGATCTCGTATGGAAGAACTCTTTGATGAAGCCATCGCCGTTGGGATCGGGATTCCTCTCTCCAGCGCCAATGGTATATTGGTATCGCCAACTAAAAAAAACCGTGCATATTTCGGAACGGCACTTGAGAAGTTGAGATCAAAATCCGTGCCGTGATGTCTACCGGCTACCCGCCGCCATCACGAGCAGTTTTAAATTGCACCTCTCGCCTGACGTTTTCGCAGGAAAGAACGAAAGAACATCAAGTTTAAAGTGGGTGTGATTTGAGATCCATGTTGAAAACCTCATAAAGTATAATAAAAAGCAGCTGGTGAACCATGTCTAAACTTTACCAGGCTTATCACCAAGCTAGTGTGCATATTTTTTTTTCTCAACAACTTAAGATTTTGGATGAAATGATTGCACATGGTGGAGCTTCTGTTCTATCGATCTCAGCTTCTATTCTTTTCTCAACCAAACTTTGTGCATTGGTGGTCCTCTGTATCATGTAGCTAGGCAGCTAGCTCAAAATTTGATTTGTGACTGAATCTAACAAAGCAAGAACTATAAGTCTAAAAATCCAAATCAAACAACCGACCGGGTAATTAGTACTAGCATAGGACTACCATGCATTTTGCTTGTCTCCAAAAAATATATGTGGAGATAGATTTTCTTTCCTGAGAGGACATTCACGTTTCTTGAATGACACTTAAATAGTCATAGAAAGTTTCATAAAAGAAATTAAAAAAATAGATTTTTATGAGATATATCACTTAAAGAAATGCAATGTCAAATTTCACTTCTACGAGTTGTGATGGAAGACCAAACTAAACTGAAACTAGTATATTAGTATATAATACATTCGTATTAAATATTTTATTTTTTTACAACTTGTAAAAGTCAAATTAAACCTACATGCCTGTGAACTCATATTAATTAACTTGTCCTTTTTAACTTTTCATGACTATTTAAGTGAGATAAAAAATGAGAGGGTGTCTCCTTAAGGGAATATTTTTTTTCTAATATATATGCATATATGATGGCCTTTCCAAGCTTCCATGAACAATAGAAAATTAGGCCCCCTTTAAAACAAATGGAAAACATAGAAACTCTAGAGAATTTTTATTTTATGGGAGATAATCTATGGAGTGCTTTAAAACAAAGGATTGATTCCAACCAATCTATTTAAAATTCCTATGGAGTGAACTGTTATAGAAATTTCGGAGAGAAAAATAAGCATAATGCCCATATGTTTTTCTTCTCGTGTCTTGAGTTTGTGTTTTTCATGTGTGCTAATCAAACGATAATTTTGAGATGATCTGTTGAAACAAATTTCACAAGATTTACGGAGTAATTTTGTAGGATTAAAATCCCATAGAAATTTCATCTATTTGCCTTTTCAAAATAAAGGATTGGAGTTTTTCAAATCCTATGAAGTTTCTTAGAAATGGCACAATGCATATAGATTTTAGAGAAAAAATAGTAAGAGCTCGTACCTCTTGAAAAATTTTCTATGAGTTTATCTCTCATTTGGCTACTACATTTTTCCTATGGCCTATTCATATAATCATTCATTTATTTTCCTCATGTTTTCTGATTCTCTATTTTACACTTGCATTTAACATGTGTTTGTTCAATTCTTCCGTTTTCTTAACACTACGTTTAAAAAAAATAAAAATTTCGTGTGTCTTAAAATCCTATTAAATTCTTTGTGAATATTACATTGTATTCATACTGGTTTTCCCTTCACGTCTTTTGATAATGCTATGTTTCAAACAAATCCTTAACATTGTTACAAGCTAGCAAGTGGCAAGCTTCCACGGAATTAAACATTTGTACGTAGCCATTTATGTGGAGACTTCCTCTTTAAGATAATGCAAGCTTTATGTGCAGGCTTTAGCTAATTCCGCACAAGAAGTCTGCAGACGCAGACGCTGAAGTACCATTGCGATACTATTATGTCATTTCTGCGTCAGCCTAGACCCTTTTCCATGAAACTATAATTCGTATGGCGAATTCCACCAGTTTTTTTATTCTCACCTAATAATTGTTTCATCTGTTAACCACCAGCTGCATTGAGCTGATCGGAATTGACACTTTGGTGGACAAAACAATTTCCAGAGCCTTGTTGTTGGGTAGTGGCCGGGAGAGCAACGTACACCATCTATCCGCGGTCAAAACGACAGCAACGCCACCACTAATTCGAAATTAAATCGATTGATTGGCACATCGAGCAACCCTCGACGCAGACTTTTGTCTTGTCAACGTGTTGGTGAGAGCACCTACTAGTGTGCGTCGACTGATATCTGCCCCCCATTTACTTTGATATATGTATAGAATTTATGGAAAATATTTTTTACTTGCAAGTGCTTGCATCCATGGCCAGCAGCTCAAAATGTATGGATTAATTTGTGGTGAAGATGGCCTTTCAAACTTAATGCTCAGATGTGCTGAGTTGTTTGGGTCAAGTCTCACAAAAAAAACTTATAAATGTTTAGTAATAATTTCGTAGTTTACTACTACTATGAAACATTTTCGTTGCGTCTGGGTTTGTTTTACAAGCTGGAAAAACAATGACTACCTAACTGCTAGTAGGTAACTGAACATTTTGCGCATGAAAGTGTTCTCTTGAAAAACTAATCAAGATCATTATCTTCAAAAAAAAACTAATCAAGATGTGTATACTACTGTTTCATAAAAAAAATCATCCAAATGTAGGATAAAATTAGCTTATTCTCGCCTCATGGAGCAATCAAGTGAACAAAACTGCTCTAGATTTTTTTAATACCGTGTTGAACCAAAAGGAAGTATAGTAAGGTTTCTGTTTAGTCCAAGCTCTGCTGTCTGCATGGGTACCACAACTTTACCAGGGAGCAGTAGAGCACCCAATCATTTTGAGCAGATCTCGTTGACCATTAAGAAACTACTACCTCCGTCTCAAAATAAGTATAGCCATGATTTTCAGCGCCCAACTTTAACCATTCGTCTTATTTAATTTTTTTTTAAAAAAAATTAAAAACATAAGTCATGTTTTATCATCTTATAACAATAAAAATGCTAATTATAAAAAAATTTCAAATAAAACGGACGATCAAAATTGGGCGTGAAAACTTATGGCTGTACTTATTTTGGGACGGAGGTAGCAATGCACGAAGGGCACTTAATTGCTCCCATGATCATCATGCATTTTCACATGAATTAATTCTCCATTTTCCATGTCTCAGTAATGGATTGTGGACGACAGATCATCTTCTTTACACCGTTGTATCTGTCATCACTTAATCATCCTACTAATTTACATCGTTCGTGGAATCTGAGCTAGGAGAGAACAACAACACCCATAGGTCACAAAAAAGCTGTGTTCCATCGAACGAAGCTGCAAGGATGCAGCCAGAGAAAAGCAAACGAAGTTGGCCACGCCACTGCAGGACGTGTCATGACTCCATGGCGGCCTCCGGGATGCTCTGCAGCGCGGGCTTCCAGTGCGCCACCCTGTAGTGCTGGTGGTAGACCTCGCCGGCGTTCATGATGTCCGCCAGAAGCTCCGCGGCCGACCGCCGGCTCTTCCGGTAGACGTGGTAGCCGTGGCCGCCGCCGGCGGCGGCCGCCCTCTTGTCCACCAGCTCCTGCAGCTGCCGCTTGGTGATCCTGATGGTCACCTCCGTCATGTGAGCCCCGCTCCTCGGCGGCGCGGTGCCTTCCTCCCCCGACTCCGGCAGCTCCCACTCGCCGTCGTCGGCCCACGACACGGCGTGCTGCGTCACGGCGCAGTTCCCCATGTATGCGCAGAGATGATCGAGATGATCTTCTTTCCTCTTTCTGGGTTGATTTCTTTGCTGTTGCTGCGCTGCTTTACTTCCGGTGTCGGAGTAGGTGTTCGAGATGATCTTTGTGTGACCGATTCGGAAGGGAGGCAGCCGTTTTATAGTTTCGAGGTAACCCGGGTCGGTCGCGGCTCCCATCACCTAAAGTTACGCCGATGTGGAGGTCCAGTCCAACGTGGACGCCGAGGTGGACGGCGGCGGGTGGTGGCCCCCGCGCGGGCGGTGGTCTGAACGCGGGGACGTGGGGGCATCTCGCATAGGTGGGATCGCGACGCGCGGGGTGGGAACGCGGCTTTTCGAGGGGGATTCCCCTACGCAGCACGGGCGCGGCACGAGCCACAGGCCCACAGCGACCCCAACGTGCGGTTTGCTTTGAGTTGCTTAGCCGCGGCGGGTTGGGAGGACATCGCGCTTGGTTTGGGGCTTTGGGCCGTCGTGATCGCCGCGTGCTGTTCCCTTGGCGTCTCGTCGGTGGCGCGCGGCCGCCGACCGGCTATAGTGCGTGAGATTGATCGGCGGCGGTGAACTGGCAACTCACGTTTGACACATCCTGTGGCGGTTTGCCCATGATTGGGGTGTCGCCTCAATTAGTTCGTGTGGTTGATCGTTGGCATCGGATCTCGTCACACCTCCTCCCGTTAACTAATCACGTCAATTAAAAACCTGATGCAACTGTGAACCACCGCAAGAATTTTCCTCTGTAGTTGAGACTTGATACTCAGGGAAGGGATGAGCTAGGAGTTCCAACTCCAATGGTACAGGACATGCTTCCGTGTCGGTGGCGTTCATGTTCATCCCGTTCATTTCCACCGCTAGAGCGCTACTGTAGGAACGATGCTTGCACTTGGCCGGGTGGCATGAACTGGCAGCACTCCGGCACGCCGAGCCACTGTGGGCTAACACGCAAGAAGTTCGTATCAGAAGAGTTGACTCAAATGATTGCACAAAGGAGTAGCCACGAAGAAATTTATTGACAACTCATGTCTTTGGCAAAAACTAGATTTATGAGGCTCATTTCTTTCACAGCTGTACCACCTCCGTCACATGATATAGAATATTTTAAAATTAAACGTAAATATTAAAAAAGATAAAATTAAGTAATAAAATATTATGATTAGTTGAGAAGTGGAGACAAGTGAACTAAATTAAATGATAAAATATTAGGATTGAAAATGTTGATGGATAAGTTGTTATATTTTAAAATAATTTTTAAACACTAAAAGTTATTATATTTTAGAACGAGAGGAGCGATATTTATGTAGTGTTTTCATGGACAAAAGGAATTTGCACTGCAAATTCGTACGCACTTTGGTGAGTCGATGTGAACGGAATATCTCTTGTATCTGATACTCTGATGCGTCAGCGTATTGTGTTGTGTGGGCTTGTAGCATCCTTCCACCAATCTGGTTCATAAACCGTGTGCGCTTCAATTGTCCCAACTCCCAAAGCGTACAAGTGCGCGTAGAAGGCTGCACTAGCCACTGGCCGTCTGGTTGTGCCGTTTAACTTTGACCCACTTTGCTCTCGGCTTCTCGCTACTTGCTAGTGCTTGTAAACAGCAAACTCTCGCTTCAATCTTATCGAAGCTTAGCCAACAGACTGTACACGTCGTGCTCGCAACGTCATGGCTCTTTTGTGTCTCTTCTTCATCCATCAAATGGGAGGAAAATGGTAAAGTAAATGCTACGAGAACTACAGACGACAGATGTTTCAGGATTGGACACTGAAAATCAGAACAAATTAAGCCCCCTTTACACTGTACAAATTACAAAAAGATGCAATACGTACGTCTCTTGGGACCGAAAATATAGTTGGAATCTGAGTGATACGCAATATCACAGAAAGTTGTTTGTTACAACAAGATATGTTTTAACTAAGAGAACAATTGGAAAGTTGTTTTGCCGAAAGATAGCAATTGGAAAGGCGAGGATAATGACACTAGAGAACAATTCCGTTTGGTCGACTAGGTGCAACAACCCAACTTTGTCTTTTAACTAAGAGAACTAGTTTAAGAAAATTCTCCAACTTTGGGTAACGTTTCATTAGACTGGTGCACTGGCATGGGTTAATTAAAAGGACTGGTGCACTAACTGCGCCTTGCAAATGACAAATGGTGATGCTTGCCAAATGCCAATTATATATAGAACTTGTTCTTCAGTAATATTATTGATTCTGATCTACTCATGTACACAGTGCAATCTATAGCATCATTTCCTGGCATCACTATTACAACATTAACTCGATCTAGAGAAGGAAAAAAAAACTGAGAATCATTTTTCCGATTGGCGGTTGGTTTCATGTGTGTTATAATAGCATTATTTTGATCTTTTATCATTGTTTATGACCATAGAGGGCATAAAGCTTGTAAATTTAAGTAGCAAATCATATCATGCATGTTGTCGAGTTGAACTCTAAAACGTACTTTGCAATTGGAGAACTTTAGCCCGGAACTTCATTCAGCTTCAGCACTGCCAATTTATTTGTCTGTTTCGGGTGATAAAATTTCACTGGAATAATAATTCTCACCCTTCATTCAATTCATACTTTGTATAGATGCATACGCAAAATCTAGCCACATAGTACTCTCTTCTCTCGGCCCCCGCGCCGCCCTCCCTCACGGGTGACACGGGAGGCGAAAACAATCGGCATCGCCGCTCCCCCCTCCTCCCTCTGCCGCCCGAGCGGCCGCCGGCAAAGCCGCGCGGCTGCAAGGACGGCGGCGGCGGGGCTTCGTCGCCTTTGTCTGCCTCTCCTGTCGGCGGTGGGGGGCCGCGCGAGACAGCAAAGGCCGCCCAGATCCAGGCCGCCTCGGCTGGATCTGGCGGGGAGGCCGCCGGCGGAGGGTTGGCCTGAGGTGGCGGCGGCAATTGGTGGTGGTGGCGGCGGGGATTGAAGATAGCGAGGTGGCAGCGACAGTTGGTGGCGGCTGGCGGCAGGGAAGGCGACGACGGCGGCGGGGGCGACGGCGGCGTCGGGGATGGTGAGGGGGCGCCGCCGGCGGGGATGGAGATGGTGGCGGGGATGGAGGTGGCGGCGAGGTTGACAACGGCGGGTGGCTCTGGCGGCGAGACCGGCGACGGCGGCCGGATCAGGTGCTGCAGGCCATTTTGGCCCCCCGGAGGGCGGATCTGGCATGCTGCAGGCCGATTTGCCCCCCTCCCCCCGCATGGCAACGACGTCGGGGCGGCTGCATTGGAGGTGGCGACGGTTTTGCGACGGCGGCTGCTGGCGTCGGTGGCTGGTGACAACGGCAGCGGCGACGGCGGCCGGCTTGCGACGGCCGTGACTGAGGAGGCGGCGGCGACGTCGGCAGTGGAGGCGGGGAAGGAGTCGGGTGTGAGGTGACGGCGGCGATGGTGAGGTGATGGTGACCGTGACGGTGGTGGGAGGAGGCATGGCGGCCTCGGACGGCTTGCCGAGGGCGTGGCAGACGGCTACATTGGACCGGCGCAGCATCGTTTGGAGGAGGGGTCGGAGAACGTCTTGTCGCAGAGTGGCGCAGCCGATGGCAGCGGAGGCCGGCTCGGCGCGAGAGGCGCGGGCGGCGGAGATGGAGGCCGGCTTGGCACGAGAGGCGCAGCCAATGGAGGGAGGCCGAATTGGCGCGAGAGGTGCGTACGGTGGAGGAGGCCGGCTTGGCGCGAGAGGCGCGGCTGGCGGTGGAAGAAGCGACCTCGGTGCGTGGTGGAGCTGCCGGTGGGTGTGGCGCGGTCTTTAGCGCGAGAAGGTTGGCCGGCGGGGGGCGTCAGTGCAGGGGGCCCACATGTTGGTAGAGTTTGAGTGGTGGTGGAGCATCGGTGTGTCAGCCGTGGATTCGCAGGTGGCGAGCAGCGGGTGAAAACCTAGCTCGGCCTTGGCCGGACCGACAACGATGGTTAATTCCCCCTCCTAAGGGCGTTGTTGTGCTGTCTCACCCCTCAAGGGTGGTTGCCAGGCGAAAGCCCAGTCTTGCCTCCTTTGAGCCCTGACGGATGGCGACAGCGGTTTTTCGTTGCTTCTCTTCTTGAAGACGTCGTTTTGGCACCCCCCTTGCTATGGCGATCTCGTCTATGCACCTTTGTTGGTCTAGTGGCGACCGGTCCGGTGCTAACCTTCTCCTGTCATGTGTGTTGGCGCTGCCGGTGTGTGGGTGGTGGTATATTTTTTTCTTTTTCTTGGTTATGACCTTTCAGGGTTGTAATCTTGTAATTTTTTACTGCTCTATCGATAGAACACCGCACCGTCTCGTGCGAGTCGTTCCATGAAAGTTCAAGTGCCATTGATTTGGTTTTGATGATTAATAACAAATCCAATTATGTGAGACTAATGTTTTTATAAGCATTTCTTTGCCTAGTCTCATGTGGATATGAAAGTGGAGTGTTGGTGGACCTAAATCACAAGGATGAAATACATGGAGATCAAGCTATATGTATCACTCTTTCTCTTCATGTACATATTGATATGTTCGTATATAATATTTCCACGTGATTGGCATATGCATGTGAGACTAATGTTTTGTTTGAGTATTATCTCTTATTTAGTCTATTTACATTGAGAACGTGGAGATGATGAAGGTATGTTTTTATTTTATTGTCTATATTTAATAAATGCCTTCTATTCTTATATAGGATAAGCTCTCAATGTTTAATATCTTGTTATGCATACTCTTGCTTCACACAAATATTTTGTACGCATACATTTAGGGGGAGCAAATCCTATACTTTAGTTATGCATGTAATCGATCCAAATTATTCACCTTCATTTAATTGGGATCTTTACACTTGAACATATATTTGAGTATATGACACTTGTGGTGTTGATTAATACTCATCATTTATTCATATCCTTTTATACATGCGATCGGTTGGTCAACATGTGTAGGTTGACAACCGGATCATTGGGACTAATAATTTTATTGAGTTGAATGAAAGAAATAGGTCCCAAGGATTACAAAGGTGTTGATGCTCAACTGATATCATTACATCTAACAATACCAAGAATGACAAAGTGAAGATATTGAAGATGTGTGATACGAAGTGGCTATTATGGCGAGACGGTGAAGGGCAAGCGATGCTCGGTCGCGATGGACCATGCGGCGGTGAAGGG